TGACCACAGCAATGAAAGTACATCATTAGCAGCTCGGTGTTAGGTGGACTTGTAGTGGATCCACTCAAAGGTAAATCAAACTGCTATAATCATGATAGCGCTCTACTTTACGATCAATTGGCGAAGGATGAAGGTCAATCAGTTGCATCCTAATATGCATGATCCCCTAAACTTTAGCATGAATAATCAGAAGTGCCATTGCGCTAAATAGCATGTGTGTACATAAAAGTGTTCAGTGAATCCCAGAGAAAGTAAATGAATGTGAGGATATAGATTTTATGATAATATGCATGAGTGGATAATAGAAGTGATGGAAGTAAAAATAAGATACTGCGAAAGCACCAAGACTTACATAGTCGGTTGAATCCAAATCTTGAAAGCGCAGATATGATGAACCGGACTGTTGCGCCTGCTGTAATTGCTGTTGTGAGCGGGAATGAGACTGATGGAACTGCTGATATTGCTGTTGCCGGGGGTTATGATATTTTTGCTGGCAGTTGTGGAGCTGGCGATGGGACTGCTGACCTGTGAGACACCTATGACCCACACCAGATGTACCCGAAGCAGATTGTTGGGAGGTCGTGCTCGCCATTCGGTCGGACGGCCCCAAAAGACCGGCACAAATCTCCAGACAAGGCAGCCAGGAAGCTGATATCCGAAGGATTCGCAGCCCCGGCCAGCCTCCAGAGGGTACGGATGTCCATGATTTTTCCTCAATAAAGGTCGACAGCACTCCATGACTAGTTTGGGAGTTGTCACCAGAGCAACAACCAGAAGTAGCAACAGTGGCAGCACTATCGAGAGGGATAATGCTATCATTTGGAAGAGATGAATCAGCGCTCAGCGAAGGGGGCTTGTGCATGAGACGATAGATGCAGGTCACAATTGTCTCGGGCTCACTCGCCAAAATTACCAAGCGATATGGGACAACTGTGAGGGAAATTGTTGGGGTGTCAGCCAACGTCATTGATTAAGGTCACTGAACTTAAATCCAATAAATGAGTCGAAAAAATTCAGGTTGGTCTAGAAAGCTCAATATCGCTGGCATCGAATAGAATAAGAACAGAAAAATTGAATATTTGGTTGAATTTGGAAGTTGTAGTCCATTTCAATCTAAATTTAAACGATGTTGCTGTTTAGATGTAGTTTGACCTTGTTTTCTTAACTTGGTCATATTGGTAGGAAGATTTAGAGGAACGCACCTAGTCCGGAGACTATTTTATGCATGATAATTTGCAGAGTCGGACAGTGGACGTAATACATTCCCAGACGTTTCGCAGGCATCGACAGTGAGTCTTCATGGACCACGTCTATGCTAAAACAGACCTACTGCGTATATCCTGTTTCTACCAGTAATACCAGGTCTACTGCGCCCTATGTCCTAGTCTCTTGTGTGCCATCCCACAAATATTGTGGTTCTACTTGTTTTGATTAAGTTAAATGTAGAACCACAATATTTGCGGGTTGGCGCACAAGAGACTAGTCTAGGATGTCATACACTTGGCACTATGGATAGAAGAACGATAGATGCGGCGGAGAATAGAGCTATTGGCTAACAGTAGACGTACTTGATCGTATACGTGCTCCATGAGGCAAAGGCTTGACAATGAGAATTACTCAGGGGCTTTAGCCTCAGATTAGTCATCCAGAGACAGAGTATGGGAAATAACGCCTCAAGTAGCTAGATGAGGTGGCAGGGGTAAACTAAGATACTTGAACCAGGGAGATAGGAGACGGATCCTACGGGGCGAGGGAGACTCTAATAAGATATATGGAAGGACTTG